TTCGTCTGATTTTTTTTAGACGATGGTCTCACTTCATCCAATAAGCATAATTGCACTATTTTATATATACCCAAACGGTTACGATCAACCAAAGAGTTTGAATTAACAAGTTGTAATTGTAACGCTGCTGAGCCATTACGTGCAGTTTCCTTCGTTCCTCTCGGGAAAAAAATCATACAGTATGAAATAAAACTATTATATAATAAAGAAGTAAATAAAAAAGATGCAGTAACCTGAAAAGTTCATCAGCACTGCACATGAAACCAAGATACTAGATCCGCATCCGTCTCCGCTCTCAAAACTCATCACATGACAGCAGGAGCCTGCATCTGGATTGAAGCGAGTCAAGTCAAAGCAGTGGGAAGCTCATGGTCACAGTCACAGATCTGGCTCCACGCAATTTTCACCTTAAAGTGCTCTCATGAATCTTACACATTACCATAGAGATTTATAGTACAAAAAAAATCTAATTGAAGATGTTGTTGGAAATACAAAACAATGTTTTAAGCCAATTAAGCATGATAATATATAGTGCAGGAATATTTGTGATACTTCTAATGATGGATTATTGCTTAGCTGAATAAATTGTCTCAGCGAGGTTAGCTGTAATTAGTTTTTTTTATTAGTATCCAAAAATACCTTCCAATATTTCCAAAACATCTAATATGACATCAAAAAATTTCATTTCGTGGAGTAAACACACCCTTGATCCGCATCCGTCTCCGTTCTCAAAACTCATCAGATGACAGCAGGAGCCTGCATGGATTGAAGCGAGTCAAGTCAAAGCAGTGGGAAGCTCATGGTCACAGTCACAGATCTGGCTCCACGCAATTTTGGAGATTGCTACTCATGGAGCCCACACATTACCACGGGATTTTAGTACAAATCCAGGGAAGGTGTTGTGGCTGTGGCAAAACAAGTTTTTCTCGAGCAATAATAATATATAGGAACAGGAATATTTGTGATACTTCTATACGCACCGCATTGCTTAGCTGAGAGATGAAATCAGCGAGGTTAGCTGTTAGCATACTGGCCCCAATGGGCTTACCTTAAAACCTTTTGGTTAAACTTTTTTTCTTTGCAGCTATGCTTTTTGGATGGAAACCTAATAATGGTTCATGCGAAAACAAAAAAGTTTAAGCTGTGGTGGCAGCTTATTAGTTCTAGAACCTAGGATTCCACACTGCATGCTGGCCTTCTCCTACAAAAATGCAGGCTACGAGTCGAACAAATTATAATGGCAAAACAACGTGTGTGCCACTTTTCTCTCACCCAAATCAAAAATACATAGTAGTAGTGCAGCCAAAACGAATATGCATGAACCAGGATAGGACTTTAAGTTTTCACCGTAATCTATAGTATATGCTTTTGAAATACTCTGCTTTGCAGCTATGCTCGTTGGATGGAAACCTAATAATGGTTCATGCGAAAACAAAAAAGTCAAGCTGTGGTGGCAGCTTATTAATACTCCTCCTACACTGCATGCTGGCCGGTGGTGACAAAAATGCAGGCTACGAGACGAGACAAATTACACAAAACAACCGTGTGCCACTTTGACCGTAAAAATACATAGCAGTAGTGCAGCCAAAACGAATATGCATGAGTCCAGGATAGGACTAAAAGTTTTCACCGTAATCTAGGACCAGACTAAACAATTTACTGGCAATGTTTAATTTAATTTGTTTTTTTTTTACTTAGAAAAAGGCAAATCAGGTGCGTTCGCAAGTAAATCTTGCTATACTAGCACAGGAGCATTTTGTTTGCCGAATTGCTTAGTAGATAGTACTACTAGACCACTAGTAGTACAAGATTGGTATTAAGAAATGGTTAGTAGTATCATCATCAGTAACATCTGAATCTGGTATGGCGCCTAGTTTGGGTGCCGCGAGGAGTCCGGCCGGCCCCACATGGGTCCGTGACGCGGCCACCCAGATGGCTTGCAGCCGCAGCGCCCGCGGCGTCCTTTTTTGCACAGCCTCGTGCGGTCCTGCCGGTGCCGGCCTCCCGCCCTCCCGCCCTGAAACTTGCGTCCGCCTCCTCCTCCTCTCCAGTCTCGGTCAGCCTCCCTCACCGCGCTCTCGCGTCGCCCGCCGCGCGCCCGTGCCGCTTTGTTTAATCCTCCCGTCCCATGTCGGCATCCGGCTCAGCGTGCCCTGGCACCGCAGCGCGTTAGCCTCGCTCGCCCTCGCTGCTAATCCCTCCGTGTTTGACCGCCGGCTAGGGCTAGTTAAGCTGCTGCTGGCGCTGCTCTGCTGTGACTGTGTGTAGGCTTTGCTAGCTTCCATCCTACTCGATACACCATGTTATGGTTTTTCTTTTCTTCCTTTTTTTCCTTTTGGCTCATTCCATCTGCATGTGTGGAGATGGCATGCATGGGAAAAGAAAATAACGGAATGACGAACTCGTTGCCATATATATATGTGTGAAATTTTTCAGAGGTTACATCATCTGATGCCCTCGATTCAGATAAGGTTCATATATAAACAATTGTTGCTCGATGTTAATCTATCTGTTACATTGTGCCGTCAGCCAAGCAGTTGGCACTAGCCGCATATAGGACCACCAACCAATGCAAATTATTAATGTGTGTTGATAAAGTCCAGTTCCCATTGGTATGTACCTACTACTACCTAGTACTGTTGTTAGTACTAGATCATCATGTAGCTGCTAGGGAGCAGGGAATCATCATAGGAGGGTTTTGGCTTCAACTTGCATGGCTTAAGGACTAATTGCATATACACAGTAGCCTACCCTGCATTAAGTGCTTAGGGTATCTTAGCTTTAATTTCTGACGGCTTTTACCAGGCAGATCTTGTAAACATTATTAGTAAAGTACTCTCGAAACAGCAGCAATGCAAGTACTCGTGTATGCATTTGCATGGATCATGAGATGTGAGGACGAGCCTGAAGAGTACTCTATATACAAACACAGCAAGGACAATCTGGGAAGCGGCTCGACGTGGGCAGGACAGGAACAAAATTATATATACATCATGTACCGGTGCATGCAGCATGCTCCCTCTTTATTAGTTGGTTGGGGCAGCTGGGCAGCTGGACAGCCTGCCCACACAAACATGCATGTCTAGCTGCAAAGCCTGCAGGCAACCATCTTCTGTAATCACAGCACCGGCAGCAGCTAGCAATCTCCGACGCTTTATTAGTTGCTTTTGGTTAGTTTTAGGGCTACCTCCGCCCTCAGGTACCGTAATTTGTGCAGCCAAACTTCTTTTCATTCTGAACTTCTGATGAGATACTCTTGTTCTGTTTGGTCTTCCTTTGCGCCTACAGGCTACGCATTTTCCATTCATCTGTAGGCTAGGCTTGGGCCAGCTATTAGTCCTGTGGAGGAAGAAGTAGTAAGTGGGCTCAGTGCCCACCAGGACCGGGCAGATAGTTTTGGGCTTTTCTTGGTCCAGGAAGGCTCTCTAACTGCTAAGTTTCTTTTGGGCTTTGGGTGAGACCATCCTCTGTTGTCTCTGGACAAACAACATTTTCGGCCCTGCTGCATGCTGTACATCCGTCGGAGTTTGGCCCATGTTAATTTCCTTTCCCGGAAATCAGCCTGAACATGAAACTGCCGGGCTGAGATTTGGCCCAAGAAGGGTGCGGTACGGTGGCACCAGTGGACGGATACCGTCCCCTCAAAAAAAAAAAAAAAAAAGTGGACGGATATCGCCGATCCCGGGAGGCCCAAACTATCGGAAAATCCCAAATGACTCTTGAGTACCAGTGTACCACCAAGTCATCTGCAGTCTGCAACAGTAGGAACAATAACTTGGCACGCTCCAATCTCACTGCTCCCATGATGATGATGATGTTCTTTCTTTCTCAACTGGGATCCAATCCGATGAAATTCCCGTAAAAGACAGGTGCCGTTGCTATCGCAAAAGGCACAGGAAAACCGTGCCAAGCTATACGGAGATGAATTGAGAGCAGGTTCTTGTCTGTACGTGCCGACGACACGCCACGCCCCCTAAGTCAAGTGGCCTTGCCGATGATCAGCCAGTCCACAGACTGCAACGTCCACCCGTCCGTCCTGCCAGCTTCACTCAGAGCGTGTTGATCAAATCCAGTCCGTCCTGCCAGCTTCACTCAGCAACATCACACGATTCGCCCACGACGTATCGTAAAATTCGATGTGACAACATGTTTTTTTTTAGAGCTCGACACACGATCTCGAACAATCACAGTAATCCAAGTGACCAAGACAGGGCTTGACAGCAACTCGTTGAAAGTTGAAACCTTCCAACGTGCTGCCCGTTGCAACCTGCCAGTCACCTCGCACGCCTGCTGGCTCCTGCAGTCAATCCAGAGCAAGTGCCTCGCAAACGGCTACCCCCGGCCCGGTCAGTCTCCGCCTCCGGCGTCGGCTCCCAGGCTCCCAGCCGTGAAATCTGGCCACACTGACAGCTTTTACTGGCAGCGTAGCGAGCGCCGGATGAGGACACGCGCGGTTGACGTCTGCGAGTCAGCAACCGACAGCGTCTGATTCCGCATGCTTTTTTTCATCACGGCTTCGTCCCCAGCCGCAAAATCCCCCCTGCCTCCGTCGATCACACGCGCGTCCACATGTGACAGCAGATTTTTTTTTCTATAAAATTACCACACGATTTTTCTCATCTTAGATTATTTTGCAGAGGAAGATTGTTTTGCCTTTTCTCAGACAAAAGACATTTCACATAAGGGATAAACAGAGTTGATTCTTCACGAGGCAGAACAAGAGGAGATATTTCGTTGTGGAATCAAAGCCCGCACGCAATTTCTAGGGTTCATCACCGCCACTTCCCACTTCCAATCTGTACTAAACACATTGGAACATTCCTAGATGTTGCTACTATTACAAGAGTAACAATAATATTACTTATATACCTAGACACAATAATGCACTAGAGTACGTCGCGGAACAAAGGAGCTTAAGAACTCTCTCGCTCGTTTAGTAGATCGTACAGTTACAGGAGGGGGGCCAAAAAAAAAGGTGCCATTACGGAGCGATCTTAATTCTAGGCGATGGCGATGGCCGTGGCCCGCTGCCGCTGGGTCCCCACCGCGGCAGCGGCGGCCGGCGAGGGCGGGAGGCGCGCGTTGAAGTTCCTGTACCGGAAGGCGGCGGCGGGGTCCGCGTACGCGTCGTCGTCCTCGCCCTCGTCGAAGTTGAGCGCGTAGCTGAGCGCGTCGTACCGGAACTCGCCCGCGGTCGCGCCCCGCCGCCGCCACCTCGTCCTCTCCGCGCCGCCGCTTCCCACGCCGAAGCAGCAGCACACCGTGGTCCGCAGCTTGTCGCGCAGCTTCGACGGGGACGACGGCGACGGCGACGAGGCCTGCAGCGCGGCGGCGTCCATTGATCTCGCCAGTTAGTTCCCGACTGAAACGAAGGGTCTCTGTTCCTCTTCTTCTTCTCTCTCGACGATTTGCTTCGCTTCGCCCTAGGGCAGTGCGCGCGGTGGTGCTGCGGCGATTAGCCGACTAGGGAAGTGGAGAAAGAAGTGCTGCTGAGATTTGGGAGGAGGACGAAGAAGTCCAGATGCGTTGCGAGGCGTGAAGGGGAAGTGGTGGTTTTGCGATGGAGGCGAAGGGACGTGGCGGTTCGCTTAATAAGGAGAGAGGCGGCCCACTGCGTGGGGTGGGAAAAGAACGGATAAGGGCAGACGGCCGAGGCCGCGTGGCGCGAGTGGCAAGCGAGTGAGCGACTGGGAGGTGGGCCCACGCGCGAGGGACAGCGGAAGGCGCCGTTACGCGTGGGGTGAGACGGAGGGGCTGTCCGGGGATTTCCGCGGCGGAGGAGGCCTTGTTGGCTTGGCTATTTTAATAGTTGGAGGGAAGAGGACCGTTTTGGATTGAGACGGCCTACCTGGCGGCGTGGGGCCCACGCTTCGGGGTGGGGTGGGGTGGTGGTACTGGTCCCCGCGGCGGAAGTGGTAGGACGGGTAACGGTCACAGGCGTGCACCACGTCAGCCGCATCGTCGCCGTGGTCGCGGCAAATCAACGGCGCTCGCCCGTGGGAAGCACCAGACTACCACCAGCCGGAGTGTGCAAGGGCACGTGGGCTTGCAGCGCGCACCGCAGCGCCTTCTGTTCTGCCTCCTTCCATCCCAGGCACAGGCAGACCTAACGCAGAACTTGCTAGTTTGGGGCGTGACATTTGGAGAAGAACTGTAGTTTGGTACGTACTGTAGAAAACAGCAAAATTTCATTTGGATAAAACTTTGGGGCTTTGGGCAATTGTAATGATGGTTTGATTATCAATTGAATTAGGTGCTACATAGAAAAAAAAGTGGAGACAGAGAGGAGACGCAGACAGATCCTAGGACTTCGGAACGCATTGACGACACGAGCATTGTTATTAGGGGAAAAAACGTTTCATTTTCATTCAACTGTCCAGTCCATGCATTGAAACTAAATGATGTGGTGGACTGCCTAACGACACAAATGACACCAGGTACTGGAGAGATATTTTTCATTCTACGTGACTACATACATCAAACCGTCTTAGATTTTGTGGCACTCTTAATAACAGAGCGAAACTTTCCCTTGAGTTAGAGTTTTTTGCCTGAAGAAAAATCATAAAAGTGAGTCCAAAAGGCTATATCATACTTCATCCGTCGCATAATAAGTGCACTTCTAGAGTTGAAAATTTGTTCTAAAATAAGTGCATCATCTCTAGATATTAGACAAACTAACTTCATTTATTTTTTTCTACTTTCTTTTTCTCCGAGGTGCTCTGATTACATCTTTAGAGGGGCGTATATATAATTTCTCTCTAACTTTGATCTCTTCGTCTAAACTCTAAAAGTACACCTATTTTGGGACGGAGGGAGCATACGCCAAATTTCCCCCCCCCCCGTCAGAGTCTACGAACAACTAAACTTCGCTCGAACTCACGTGTCAAAGGAAGCAAGAACTCAGGTCTCTCCCGATCCACTCTGGAAAATCGGACAATTTAAACAGCACACATCTTATTTTCCTGAGCCCAGTGTGGCAAATGCACCTTTATTAATTAGTACTAATCACGCGACCTTGAGAAAAATCTTACTTAGAGCAAGAGTATCTGAGCAAGTATACAACACAGACAGAACCACAATCTGCCCAATGTTTAGAAACACCTTGGCTGCCGAGTGCCGACCAGGTTTGACCTTACTTGGTTAGCTCAGGCTCGCCGTACGTGCCGTTCCACGGCGACGGCGCATCCACGTCAAAAACGTCCGAGACCGATCGTAAAAAGTGCCTTAACACGGCCTCTTCCCGCCAACCGCAATACAAAACTACACGCTTTTGACGCTTTGGAGTTTGGACGCCCGGCCTCGCAGAGTCGCGGCAAACTGGATATATGGTTCCGTTCGATGACCCAACCAGATCAGATCAGATACGCTACGCCTACGCGCGCAGCCGAAAGGGACGGAACGGGCGGACCAGACACAGACAGGAAGGCCGAAGCCAAGCCGTGCGAGGGAGGGGAAAGCACCCGCTGCGGCATGTCCGCGTTGAGGCAAAAGGGCCTTCAAATCAAAGCAAAAGGGGTTGGTTTGATTGATGCTTCCGTCGATGTGAACGCGGGCGGCTGGAACCGGATGCCCCGCCGAGACATCGGGCGGCGGAGGCGACGGGCAGGCGGCCAGGCGGCCAGGGATCGGGACATCGGGTGGAGCCGTGGTCGGCCTGAGATACCCGGCTGATGGTCCCTCTCCATGCAGCTCGCAAAGCGGCAGCGCTTGCTGGCGGCTGGCGCCTGCCGCCTGCCGCCTGCTGCCGACGTTGGGTGAGGAGTGACGAGGCAGGCAGGCAGGCAGGTTTCGCTGCTGCCTGCTGGCATCGCTTTGTTCTGGGCTTTTGTTTTTTGACGTAAGTGTTCTGGGCTTTTACAGATAAAGCGTTTGGGCCGTTGACGACGCACAGCAGTTGTGCGGAAAGAGAGAAAAGGAGGCAACCACGATTACGATACTAGAGTTTGATCGAGATTATCGGAGAGGCAGCAGGTGGTGACTCATGCATAATCAAGCGCTTTAATTGAACTTGCCACCGGATCGAAAAGGCGATTGCAAGTGCGATATCGTTCATTATCGTCGTCGTCGTCGTCTCGGCTAGAAGATAAGGATCGATTCAAATTCCATCCCATCCAAATGGCGGATCCAGAAAAATATTTTGAAAATTTGAACAACACCGCTGCCGATCGATCTTAAGCCTCGTTCTCCCTCACTATGTAATCTTTGTTTAAAAATTCATGGGGTTCTACAAAGAATTTGCACCGATTCGGTATGGGTAGGGGCTTCTGCCCGCCCCCCCTTTGCTGGATCCGCCCCTGATCCCATCATGGGCACTGAGTAATAATTATATACTGATGGTCCATCGCATACTCGGTGCTCAACGAGCTAGGAGTATAGTCGATCTTTCCTTTTGGTTTTCAAAAATAGAAGCGGTAGTCTGATTGCACTTTTGATGACGCCCAAAAGGTGCAATCCAATCCAATCAGCTAATAACAGAGAGTAAAACGTTGCCAATTCTCGCTGCGTGCCCCCTGATGACTCATATCGCACCGTTTAGCTAGCCTCCCAAGTGAAAACAAGAATCATTTTTCAGCTGCCTGCAATGGGCTATTGGAGTAGCTAGTCCGGGGTTAACGTTATCCCTAGTATACCCAGCACTCGTTCTTGCTCGCATAGAAATGGCGTCGTTTATCGCACGAGTTGCCAGCATAATCGCAGTGACGTGGATCGGTTTAGTAGATTAGTACAAATGTATTATACGTACATATTAGTACAAATTAAAATCTACCTTTTCGATCCTGAATAAATTAATTTCTAAAATTGTTTAAAACACTTTTTAACATTTAACTGAACTTGTAAAAAAGCCCAAGATTTATAAGACCGAATTACTATCATGAGATAGATAGACCATGAAATATATATTCAGTGGCGGAACCAGCAACTTTGATTAAGGGGACCGAGCAAATATCATGATACCTCTAAGTGTGATAAATATATATGTAAGTTTATGTTTCAACAACTTTTTCATTTTTTCATATATGTAGTTAATATCTATAGCAAAAAACACAATATTATGATACAAAAAAGGTGAATTAATACTTAATATGCTATATAAATTACAATGTTAATAGGGGTATTAAAAAAATTTCTACTGCATTGGGGGGCCATGGCCCCTGCTGGCCCCCTAGTTCCTCTACTGTATATATTTCTATATAATATATTTATTTAGTATCATAAATATTATTGTTTTCTATAAATATGGTCAAGCATAAAGAAGTTCAACTTAAGACAGCTCCAAAAAATAATTTATTCATGGCGAAAGGAGTTATCCACATAATAGTCACCGTACTGAATTAATTTATCCAAATAGGTCCGTCACCTAAAACATATCATTCTCATTTTCTAAGAAGTCAAATATTTTTTAACTTTGATGAAATATATACAAGGAAATATTAACATTTATGGAACATGATAAATATCATTAGATTAGTCGTTGAATATATTTTCATAATAAACTTATATGAAAATACAAATGTTCTAATATTTTTTTACAAACCTAGTCAAACTTAATAATTTTGACGCACAAAGCCTCATGCGACTTTCTTTAGGGTGGAAATTAAAGTGATCTAAAATTTAAAATTTAAATGACATTATTCCATTAGACCACACAAGTTAATGATGAAAGTGATATAATATTTTCTAAAAAATAGCCAACCTCATAAGAAATTGACATTATTCCATTAGACCACACAAGTTAAAGTGATCTAAAATTTAAAATTTTAACTTTCATCATCTAAACTTTAGATGAACAATGGATTAAGGTAGCCATGAGATTTACACAAACACAATGGGAGATACTAGCGCCCGAATGTTCGGACATAAGAGTATGTCCGGATGCTCGCGCAACCTTTGTCATGCGCGCGCTCGCGGAAAATGCCACGCCCGTCACTCCTTTCATCTAGCCCCTCCTCTCTTTTTGACCGCGAGTCCGGACGCCCGCGGGAAACGCCACGTCCACCGCTCCTTCCCCATGACCCCCTCATCTCTCTCTGCGTGGGCGGGACACGAGAACCGGCATGGGGACGAGCACGCCCCGTCCGCAGGATACTAGGTGCGCTACGCGCCCCCATCCCCTGGCGCCCAGTCCATGCCCCATGACTCTCTACCTCTGAAACATGAAATACTTGGATGCAACATATGTCTGAAGCAAATAAAACATTTAGAACATACAATTGCAATATGTGTGTGAAAACATATGCAATATCTAGATAAAACACTTGCAACTTGCAACATGAAAACCCTTATTGCAACATAAGACTGAAACAGCTGAAACATTTTGAACATACTCTTGGAACATGTGTGTGAAACATGAACAACATTCATATAAAAGCGTTTGCAACATACGTCTGAAACAGATAAAACATCTTGAACAAATGCTTGCAACATGCCTATGAAACAATTGTAACATGCCTCTAAAAACACTTGCAACATACGCAACATCCTGATCTACTTTTACAACTCCATATAAAACACTTGCAACATATCTCTGAAACACTTAAAATATACATTTGCAACATATAAGAGGGAAGGGCGGGGCCGGTTGATTTCGGCCTCGGGGTGGGAGCTGGCGGCGCGCGAGCATCACCAGCACGCCCCGCGCTCATGGGTGCCTGAGGCGCGCGACGGCACCATCAGCACCAGCAGAGGCGGGCAACACGGGTGGGCGACTGGGAGCGCAAGAGGTGGGACTGTGGGAGCATGGAGCGAGAGGCGTGGGTGGGGCGTGCGACGGGTAGGAGCGAGGAGCGAACAACACAGGATGGGCGTGTGCGGGGAGATGGTTGCGGCGGCGAATGCGGAGTGGGGTGGATGGACGGCCGCACAGCGCCGTGAAGCTTACGATGGGCGAGCAAGTGAGGAGATATTTAAGAGAGATGTTAGAGATATAGAGAGGAGAAGGTTGGTTTATTGGGCCGATAGTACGTAGGCCTTGGAAGGCAGCATCCGATCGGACGTACGCCCCGCCCCTGAGCATGGCCGAAACACAATTGCTTGTGGGCTTGTGGCCCGTCGCTGTTGGTGACCGAGGGTGTGCCGCACAGACCTTGCACTGAAGCTTCAGGTAACCAGCACCAAACAACGGAGTGGTACACAGCGGCACAGCAGGCCAGCAGCCGTGGCTCCAGCAACCCGCCTGGAGCTAGCAGTTCGGATCTAAGTCCTTGGTGGCTTATCAGCCAACGAATAATATTTTTCTCTCACACTAAATCAGCCAACAATATTTTCAGTCATGACTTATAAGCTAAACCAGCTCAAACAAACAGGACGAGAGACAAATGATTGTTTCCGGCACCAGTTGTTGCTTTGCCGAGAACCGTTGGTCGCTTGCAGACTTCGAGCGATGTAGCGAGGCATGATCGCATGACATGTTTGAGCTTCCTACCCATTTTTTTGTTTGGAAACGATGGAGCTGTGTCTGACGCAACCGAAAGTACTGTATGATCGACCGGGAGACGCTTAGGACTACACAGTTACATACACTACGTCAGGTTTATCTCTGCACGCACACGTCTTCCCCGGACAAGGTAAAACGTCTCCCTCCAGCTCTACTCCATATTCGTGGTATAATATTTTTCTCTTATAACAAAACAACATCAGTCGATTTATCAGTAGCAGAAACCATCATTCGAACAGAGTCCTTCATCAGACGCTGACGGCCTATTTTCTACAGGAGATCTATTTTCCTACAGGGAAAAAAGTGTGTAATTTGATTTGTGACACGCTGATGTTGCCTCTGCTATGTGCCGGAGACGAGGAAACGAACGAAAAATCTTCACGCGCGCGAGGGGTAACCACTGCAGAGCGGCTAGCCACGCGGCCGACGCAGGATCAGAGCCGTCTCGCCCGCGTCGCCGGGTCGCCCCCCTTGGCGAACGGGCGCGCGTCGCGCCACGCCACGTCGTAACCGCTGCCACCCACCACAACGAACCCCCCGCGGCGAGCGCTCGCTGCACGCTGCTCGCCAAGACCCCGCCGATCCAAGCACGCAGCTCCGCCAGGCCGGTCGCTGTGCTGCGCGCCATGGAGCTGCAGCTGCTGGCACGACCCGCGGCGGCCGCGCCGTCCTCCTCTGCGCGACCCTCGCTACAGCTCCCCGCCCCGGCCCCGGGCCCATCCCGTCCCCGTCGGCCCGGGTTCCCTACTCTCCGCGCCGCCGCTGCAGCAGCTGCGGCGATCGCCGCGGAGCCGGTACGTGCTCCTTCTCGTCGGGTTTACAGGTTGCTTCTGTTGTATAGTCAACGCACTGGTTATCTTGCCCGCCATGTGTTTGCGGTTATGCTCGACTCGGTTGCCAGCAACCGGTTGCTTGGTCGATTAGCACGGCTTCCTTCACTGCTGCTGGTACCTGGTAATGGAGATCTTACCTGCAATGCCTTCTTGGCAGTGACCTTTAGGCTTTAGCTCAGCTAAATGATTTAGGTGCCGTCGGTCCGTATTTCTGGTATCAGTTGTCGAGCCTGGTGTCTGCGTACTACTGGTGATACCATCACACTAAAGACCTGCCCCATTGGATAATCGACTGATAAGTTTATCCGTACACATGAACCTACGCATCTCCCACAATCACCTTGCTCTGCTCTTGGGTACATCCAAATCACGGGTAACGTGGTGCCTTGGGAACCAGTTAAGTGGAAAGCAGAGACTATAGTGGTTCCTACTTCTGATTGTCAGAGTCGTTTTCTGCCCATGTATGCCTAGATTATGGTGGCTTTGTTAAATTTTGGTAGATGCTGCTTGCCTCTGAGAATTCCTCTGGGGTTTGTGATTTTGTGATGCGGGTCAATTGTTTGTTACTAGCAAAATGTTTCCTACCAGACCCTGCTATCCATTTCTCTAGGACATTTGGCATTCCTCCCTAACAATAATATTTTCCTTGTACCATGCAAACTGAAGATCTCGTAATTTTCGTGATTACAGGAAACAAAAGAGCAGCAGCAGAATAGCAATATGGAAACTGAGGTGTTTGCCTGCCCTGTCTGCTACGAGCCATTGATGAGAAAAGGGCCACCAGGCATAAACTTGTATGTCCTAGTATGTTTCTGCTTATCTTTCCAGCAAATGTTTTTGGCTTGATTGACATTTATGTTCTTTTGGATTATATATGCATGCTCCAGGCCAGCAATTTATAGGTCAGGATTCAAGTGTTCAAAGTGCAACAAGTCATTTACCAGCAAAGACATCTTCTTGGACCTCACTGTAATTGCAGGGACAAAAGAATATAGTGAACAGAAGCCCGCTAGAACTGAGCTGTTCAGGAGTCCACTTGTCTCATTTCTTTATGAGAGAGGGTGGCGACAAAACTTTAATCGGAGTGGCTTCCCTGGTCTTGATGAAGAGGTGTTTTTCTGCTGGATAACTTCATCTTCGACACCATTGTTTTACTGCATGACGAGTTAGAAAATTCTTTCCTATGATTGAATAATTAATACATTTTAGACAGTAAGTATATTGTGCATATTGTTTTTCTGTTGCAACAAAAGACTTATTTAAGTCGTCGCAATTCGAAGATTGTTCGTCTAGCAAAGATCTTCAACTCTTCACTCTCTTATGCATGTCCCTCTTCGGATCTGCTGGCATTGTCAGTTTCAAATGGCTCAAGACTATTTTCAACCCGTTGCTGGTGGTATCCTTCTTGATGTCAGCTGTGGCAGTGGCTTGTTTACTAGGAAGTTTGCAAAATCTGGGACATACTCAGCTGTGATCGCTTTGGACTTCTCTGAGAATATGCTCCGCCAATGCTATGAATTCATTAAGCAAGATGATACACTCCTCAATGCGTAAGCTCTCTGTCCTGTTTCTGAATCTTTTTTTCATGTGTGGTGAGCTTCCCTGTAGCACTGAAGGAAAAGTTTCTTTTGGATCATGGATGCAGATTAACAGGGGATTTAGGGTTGAATTAGGAGCCATAATTTTCCAATCCAGTACTCACTTCATGCTCACTAACTAGCTGTTGAGAAGTTGGAGAAGGTCAAAGCATTTTTTGATGCAACAAACCAAGCATATTATCAATAAAAGATTAGGGCAGGGGATCACTATGATGTTTGTTGGAAGCGAATGTTTTCTCTAGTTTAATACTCCCTCCATTCCAAATTGTAAGACGTTTCGGCTTTTCTAAATACATTGTTTTTAACTTTTATTATATATATCCAAACATAGTGTATATCTAAATGCATAGCAAAAGCTATGAATCTAGAAAAGCCAAAACATCTTATAATTTGGAATGGAGGGAGTACTAACAATACTAATATCTATTGTCTAAAGACTGTAGTGGATTGTAATCAACAGTGCATCCATTACACCCTGTTCGCTTGAACTTATCACCCTGGCTTATCAGCCATGGTACAGTGTTTTTCTCTCACAACAAATCAGCGAACAATACTTCTCAGCCTGGCTTCTCCCAAGAAAATTTTACCCCCATCGAGCTTTGAACAATATATATAAGTCAAGCAATAATTGATAACTTTTGTTATCTTTATTCCAAGATCAAGCCATGCAAACCAATGACTGTTTTCCTCTTTTGGTTCTGCAGGAATCTAGCACTCGTGAGAGCTGATATTTCAAGGCTCCCTTTTGCTTCTTGTTCAGTAGATGCCATTCATGCTGGAGCGGCTATCCATTGTTGGCCCTCACCCTCTAATGCGGTACAATTTCTCATTTGCATTTTTGACTTGTGCAGTTGTGCTAATATTAAAAAAAAAGATTAAAATTTATGTTGTTATACAACATGTAACTGCACAATATCTGCTAGTTACATCTGGTACATAAAAGCTTTTCCTAGTCAACCATAACTTTTCATCTCATAAAGATTTGTCTTGTATTAAACAAAAAAACTGATGAAACCAGGATGCTTATAAGTCATACTCTTACCTTCTCCATTGGGACGGTGCTGAAATTTTAGCAAAAGTATATAGAAGCATGAACGTCCATTATTCGATATTAAATAGTGATAACATTTTCCCCTATGTGTTTCCAGTATAGCTTCCCTGATTCTATTCATGTTGTTGTCATCTGAATATGACATTGTATCTTAGCCAACTCGATAAATCAGAACTTAAATTGTATCATTAGTGCACTGCCAACCGACAATGACAATCCTGCCCTTCCATTCGTGTGATTATGGAGTATTTACTGACGTCTAATTATCAGGTAGCTGAAATAAGCCGTGTCCTGAGGCCTGGTGGAGTCTTTGTGGGAACCACCTTCTTATCCTCTCCCAGGAACAACCCATTCTCTGTTGAAGCACTAAGGCCACTTAGACAGGTATTTGGCCATCTTTGCTAGTTACTTTTCTCTTTTTCGCTGAGCTTATCTAATTTGTTCTGCCTTTTACCACTTATTATGGTGCAGATTGTTGGACCAGTTAACACCAGCTACAACTATTTTACTGAAGGAGAGCTAGAAGACTTGTGCAAATCCTGTGGCCTTGTCAACTACAGCAGCAATGTTCAGAGGTCATTTATCATGTTCTCCGGGCAAAAGCCGTATTGAAGAATTCTGTCCAAGTCCAAGCTCTATTGTTTCTTTTTATCATGTTCTCCGGGCAAAAGCCATATTGAAGAATTCTGTCCAAGTCCAAGCTCTATTGTTTCTTCAGAATTCCTTGTAAAACACGTTTAAAAGTATTTGCATATATTTGTACCATATTGTGCATAGGTTCCTTAATTTCTCTACAGTGTTCCTGAATGTATTCAGTACAAAAATGCACAAAAAATGCATGCTGCAGACTCTTAAAAAAGAAACATTGTTGCCCTACGTTTTCTGTGAATCAACACACTCTTTGTTCTTGGCTGGGCTACTAGCCTGGAATAATGCTTGAATTCTATTGCTCTCCCAAAATTGCACGTACCAATACTGCAAGCCGAGACAGATTCGGAGTCCGTCTCCGGTTATGTAATGGAGTGTTAGGTTTGAGAAATCAATCCATTCTAGATAAGGTGATGCACCATGGATTCATTCTTTAACAGCCTGTTTGGTTTGCCGGATCAACCAATCTGGATTGTCGTGGGACGAGGTGGCTCCTTGTTTTTCAGCGGATGAGTTGATTCCAGGATATAGAAGAGCAGCCTTCACTACGAAGTATCACTCGGTGCCGGATGAAATCTTCCATACCTCAATCCAAATAAGTTATAGGTTCGGACTTAGGATCAGATGGCTCCAGAGCCGATCCATGATGCAAACCAAACATGCAGTAAGATTAGTGAAAGGACCTCATTTATCGTACTAGTGCTAATTATGGGCTTACAGCAATGAGGCGGTGATGGATCAATTTTATTCTTGACCAAACAAAAAAACTAAAGAGTGAGATGTTGATGGGCCATTTCATTCCATAAACCGAACACCTCCTAATTGTTCCTCTTGTTTCTTTTGCACAAGGAGATTTTTAGAGAACCTTGTCACAGAATTACAACAAACTTTGGTATATATGGAATTGTCAGACTTATCGGCCGTGACTATTTGGCTGCCTACATAGGACATATTTGGATACATATGGCTAGTTATTAGTTAGGGTAAAATTATCTTAAATTAGCTATGGCTGATTAGCCAGTTGCTAACAACTAGTTGAAGACTTGGCTAAAAAGTTAGCTCACCTAATAGCCCTCCTGTTGATGTACAAGAGCTAATTTTTATCTAATGCATGAATAAAGTCCATTTGACCTTCCTCAATTATTGTGTAAGTCTAATTTACCTCCTTTAATCGCAAAACAGAATTTTTAGACTCCCACAACTTTCGAAACCGTCCAATTTACCTACCTAGGTGGTTTTGAAAGCAATTTTGACTGACCTGTGATGGCACCTCAGTCATGAGGGAGGTAAATCGAACAAAAGAACATAGAAATATTTTTTCAAAAAATATCTAAATTTTCTATAACAAATATGCATTTAAAAATACTAAAAATCTAATTTAGCCATAGAAAAAATTCATAGAAAATTTGTTTTAAAAAAGGACGTACCAGTGCAGAGACTCTCGCTCTGTGCGGGGTTTGGGGAAGGGAGTTAATGCCAAGGCGAGGCCCCAGACCCCTCACAGAGCGAGAGCTCTCTGCACTGGGTACGCTTTTTTTTTAAACAAATTTTCTATGAATTTTTTCTATGGCCAAATTAGATTTTTAGTATTTTTAAATGCATAAATATGAATCCAATTTTATATATTTTTTCTAAAATCACGCTTTATGGTTTTTAAACTAGGAACAATAATATAGAGCATGATTTTAGGAAACACACATCATGAGATTGTCCAATCTGCCTTCCTGCTCGAGCATGTGCTCCCTATGTCTGCACAGACCTACGACGACGACGAACAAGGAAGCGATCATGTCCATCCTGATGTTGTCCAAGTTGTAGATGTCTATTCGGGAGTCTGAGAAGACGCACATCGGCTGCCCACTGGTGGGCCAATGAATCGGCACACATCATTGCCGTGATATTCCTTAGAGAAGAAAGTGTTGCTACAAATTTAAACCACATGATACACATTGTTAATGTGCTATTAGAACTTGTATTATATTTTTATTTGGTTATGGTGTATGTCTTGTTGGTTAAGCAATACATTGTTGTTGAGGAAATGCTTTTTGTAGTTTGCACATCAGGTTGCACGTTGATTCACGTTTCAGTCTGCAAGGATTTGTCTTGGCTCGCATCCTCTATTTCATATTTGACCTAGTTTTAGATTTTAGGAGAACATATAAAATTATAGAGCATGATTTTAGAATATATTTTTTAAAGTTAAAACAATTTGTCTATGATTTTTCTAAGGTTAATCAGATTTACTATTTTTAAATGCATGTTTTGAAGATTTTTTTCTTTAACTATTTTGATAAAGATTAATTGATTTTTCTGAAGTATCATGAAAGTCCAATTTATCTCGTGGCTGTCTTGGCGCCATATAGGATGGCTTATGTGACGCTACGTCATCTAAAACTGCTTTCAAAATCTCTCCAGCTAAAATTGCTTTGAAAACCACTTAAGACCTTGTTCGTTTCATCGCTAAACCATAGGGATTATCCCTCCCAATCTTCATGGTTTGGACAGAAAACGAATAAGGGCCTAATAAACAGGTAAATCGAACGATTTTTAAAAGTTGAAGATTAAAAATCTGGTTTTACAATTAAGGGAGATAAATCGAACTTGCAAAATAGTTGAGGGCCCAATTATACGCTCATGGGCTGCCGTCGCGCCTGATTTGACAGGGTTAGTCGACCCGATTGCTCGTGCTCGTTCATATTAGGTCTCCATTATGGGCCCATATTCTTTTCCGGCCCGGCCTGGCCCGCCTCTCGGCGCCCGGCAGGCCGGCACGCGCCGCCGCCGCAGTCGGCGCCCCAGCCCCTCCCTGCCCTCGGCTTTGCTCCCCATCTAGCTTCCCCACGACCCTCCTCTCCGCCCGTCCGCCACCGCCACCGCCACCGCCATCGCCGCGCCGCTTCTCTCATCGTCGCCAGAAACGAAGCAGGACGCCCCCGCTGCACCGCTGATCTTGCGCTTGAAGATCAATCAATCCGCTCACATAGTTCCCTACGTGCCGAAAATCCTGCGGAGACCTGGCGGAAATCGCCCGGTCTCCCCCGCCTCTGGCTCGGCCTCGCCCTTTACGCTACACCTTGAGATTTTTTATTCACTCGATCCAATCCGGCCCTGCGATTCTAGATTTTGCGAGGTGCGGCGCCGATTAGGGGCCTGAGGGTGCGGCGGCCTAGGGTTTGTAGCTACTGGTGCCGTCGCGGCCCGGGGAGGCGGTAGAGGACAGCGACAGCCGCAGCCATGAGCGACGGTGAGCTCCATGAAGAGGAGAACCCGACCAACAGTGCCGCGGGTGAGCTCGACGACACCCAGGACTTCATCACAGCCACGTTATGCTTTTGGTTTGGTGTTGGTGCAAGAGCCGATGGGCGGCCCCTAGGGTTGTCAAATAGCTGGGTTCTGATGTGTTGGGTGTGCTATGTTAACTAGTGTATTTGCTGGGCTTTGTGCAACTGATTGTGGTGCCTGTTTACAATGGGATTTGATAAGCTGATGACATGCTGTCTGGTGCTATATAGAATTCGATGTACTTTTTTTGTGTGTGTGGAGAAGATGTTAGTTGCGGGAGCTACATGCACCCATGTAAGATGAGGTGGTTGGTTTGCTGATCTGCTATGGGCTTGTAATTGTGAAGTTGCAGTCTTTAGAGTCGGCTGTGAGAATCATAAAACTGCAAAATGATGTTATGAGTATGAAGATGATCCTCTGTAGGGTTAACTGTTCCATGATGATCTTCTGTATTTTATGTGATGTCTTGAAACTTAATTTGATGAAATGTTGGTTGAAACTAGCATTAAGATTCTCCGATGCTGCATCTTTAAAATACTGAAAACATGTAACCCTCTGTTTGGGAATGCATCGTGTCATCATTAGTCCTCAGATTCTTAGTTTTCCTAACAATTTCCTGAGGTTGCTCCAAAACTGGATTTATTTGAAGCTAAGTACAATTGATGAAATGTTGGTTGAAACTAGCAATGAGTTTGTTTGAATAACCCCATCTTATTTATTAGTGATTACTGTTGTCATCCTTACAGATGACGATGACGACGAGGATTATGAGGAGCCTGGTGGAGGAAATCACTTCTTGGGGTTTATGTTCGGCAATGTAGATGATTCTGGTGACTTAGATGCTGACTATCTTGATGAGGTACAGACTTCTAATATCTGATTTTGTTGGCATGCAAATGTCCTGTTTTTTGTTGTTTTGATTATTTTATTTCACGTGTCTGCCTCTAGCAGATGACATGCATCTCTATCTGTTTTTGATCTTAGTGCATTCTCAATTGGTCATGATTTGATACAGATTAACTTCTTTGTTGGTGCTCTTTTTCTTAACATTTTGATCCGTATAACTTATACTTTAGGGTGCTCAGTTGCTTTATAGGAACCAGCATTACTAAAAGAACCATATTCCACTGATTAAATTGATTTGATTTGAGTTCTGGAAATGATGAGATAGGGAAAATCAATGCTATGAACCAAACTATTCTCAGTCCATGCATTGTAATTTTCTCGTAAGTTGGATATTTTCTGAATAGTCTTGAGCTCACTAAATTTTAGCCAGAACAAAGGTTAGTTGCGCAGCCTTAGGGTACTTTTGTTTTATTGTTTTCCCATTGAGTCTGCAGGAAACCAAGTCACTATTTAGTTATGTTTATAATGTAATTTGGATGTTGCATTTCTTTATTACTTTTATTTTGCTTAATTCAGGATGCGAAAGAACACCTTTTTGCACTGGCAGATAAGCTTGGTCCATCTCTCAAAGACATTGACGTATGTTATCTTATGCATATAGTTAATTTTACTTGCCTATTTCATTACCAAACAAGTTAATACTATGTTGTTTGCTAATTAGCTAATCAAGTCTTCTCCAGCACCAACTGATCCTTCTGAACAAGGTTAGTGACATATTACTGTTTCCATATAAGCTGCGCCTACAGTTTTGAGAGTCATTCATCAAGCCAACTTTGCCATTGCTTAGGAAGGCCTTATCCTTCTTTTCTGTGTCAAACTATGCACATAATTGATAACACATCTTTTTGCTGTTATGTAGACTATGATGAGAAGGCAGAAGATGCTGTTGATTATGAAGATATTGATGAAGAATATGATGGACCTGAAGTTGAAGCAACTACAGAGGAAGACAATGTGTTGTCAAAAAAGGATTACTTCTCTTCATCTACAGTGTATGCATCGGTGAATAGTACAGTTTCAGTGTTTGACGATGAGAATTACGATGAGGAAGAAGAACCACCCAATGATAATGAACCTCCTGGTGATAGTGCTGCCCAAAATTTATCTTCAGGTGATACTGGATAACGTGCCTAATGTTTTCAAGTTCCATTTATGTTAGTGTTCATTCCATTTCTTACTACTTTCTGGTTCCCATGCTACCCCTGTTATTTGTTCCTTCCATCTAGTGATTAAACATTTGTAGCTTGGCACCTCCTTTTTGGTCTGCAACTTTTTGTCTTCATATTTGCATGTCCAACTTCTGGCTTGGGCAAGCGTTGGTGGTAGCGATCAAGTCTGTTCCAGTCTAACTCTAATAAAACCTGAACTGAAGACTTGACCATCCTTTTTCACCTTTTTTCTTTTGTTACCATAGATTCTAGTGTGGCATAAACTTCACTTTTAATTATTGAAGATGAAAACTTGTGAAAATGTTATGCAACCTTTTTGTTCAAGCACACTTGATTTTAATTGCCGAGTACATGTTATAAAATAAATAGAGCATTTGTTTTTCTTGAAACAACTAGAGCATTCATATGTCAGCACTAACACATCGAATTTCAATCTTTTTATCTATTAATATTTGTTATAGCTAACTGACTTGATTCTCATTTCTCGTAATCTTTTTGGATATAGTTTCTATCGAGCAGGCAGATATGGCAACCTCAAGCAATAACCTTGCCATGGAAAAGATTGGCTTGTTATCACATCCAGAAGAAGGCATGGACTTTGAATATGAAGATTTGGAGGTATGTGAAGCCTGATCCTAGAAATTAACATTGCATTGTCCTGTATCATATTTATATAATTATAGCACTTTTCTTATTCATCTCTAATTAAACAGAATGAAAAGGGCACTGGGGAAGGTCATCTTGAGCCTGAAAGTGCGACTTCCCTCCCTGTTTTATGCATAGAGGATGGGAACGCGATCCTGAGGTTCTCTGAAATTTTTGGTATCCAAGAGCCTGTAAGAAAAGTGAAAACAGATCACCACAAACGTCCAGTGAATAAAGGTATTCTGCATGTTGCAACAAAAAGATCCAAGAAGCACCACCCTCCCCCATGTATGCAAGATCTTGATAGATAGTTGGTAGCTGGAGGGTGTTACCTGAAAGCAATGGTTACTGGGAACATAGTTATCCTTACTGCTCATGTGTTCAATTTGAGATGAAGAACTTTAACTGCCACTGTCTATGTCAACAGTCTATACTTATCATTTCCAAAAATCTGATTTCCAATATGTTCATTCTGTCTGAGGGCAAGTATCTGATTTGATGAAACAGTAGTTCTATACAAATTGGCTCCTGCCTCTTCTGATTAGGCCTAGTTATTATTTTAGTGTTTTGAAACTAGGCCAAAAACAAATGCTGCATGTGAGGTCTAATTCGCCTCATCGTTCCGATAACTGTAAAAAAGATATAGCCTATCAAAAGGGCCAACTATATGGAAAGGCAAGCAAATTGTTGGCTTATTTCTTTCAGGTCTTCTAATTGATTGGTGTTAAGAAAAATTATTAATATGTGAACCTAATCTGCATCTGTATGACTTCTAGTTTGATTTATTGATCCTTTTGCAGCATAACCATTGTTGACAATTGCTTTATTTTCTGCTGATTTCCACAAAAGGAATGTATTTGATCTTTTTTTACTGCTATATGAATGTACATATGTACTTGATTTTCCTAACATCAAACTACCACAAGGCTTTGTTGCTCCTATGTGCCGCAAGTCAATAGCTTGTTATCGCAGTTACTCCGGGTCAAAACATTTGAATACATCTAATATCATATTTGTCTTGTTGTAATTACTTCCAGAGCTTCAGATCACAAATGTTGCTGACAATGTTGAAGAAGATGAGGAACTAATTCTCCGGAGCACTATCCAAAATTTCTCAACTTTGAAGCACATCCAGATGAATGAAGATTTTGTTGAGAGTGACAGTGATGAGTCTATTTCTGATGTCACTTTAAGGCTAAAGGATTCATGTCTTTCAGAACAACCAATGAAAGATGCGCATAAGGATATTCGTACTGTCCAGCGATCTCCAATTTGTCCTGATTTTTATCCACTTGAGCATGATGATTGGGAAAATGATATCATTTGGAACAATTCACCAGCAACTGATCAGCAGCCTTATGCAAAAATCTGTGAATCTGAAGAGAGTGTGGACACCCATGGTGAAGACCAGGGTAAGGATTATGGCCAGGTCTCCAGGTGTTGGGATGTACAGAGTAAAAGCAATGGTTCCCCAGTAATTGAAGAGACTTTTGGTTGTACAGACATGCCTGCTCCAGCTAACTACTGTTCCCCTGGGAAAAGTTACCCTCCACTGACAAATGAAGATAACTTAGATCACATAACGCCAAATAACTTAGATGATACAGTTAAAATTGACACCACGATGCGTTTAAATAACCTTAGTTTACTGAACAGGGAATTATTAGAAGGATCATGGTTGGACAACATAATTTGGGATCCTACTGAGGTTACCCCAAAGCCTAAACTGATCTTTGACCTCAAAGATGATCATATGCTTTTTGAGATCCTAGATGAAAAGAATGTGGATCACCTCCGGTCTCATGCTCGTGCTATGATTGTTAGTCAGTCAACCAAGACTTCAACACCAACAGTTGATAATTTTGACAATCAAGCAAAGACATTGAGTGGCAGATTCAACATCTCCAATGACAAGTTTTATTCAAATAGGAAGACTCCACAGCAAGCTAAATCTCATACTAAAAAACGTGCTTTAATGGGCATAAAGGTGGTGCATTCTGCTCCAGCTCATAAGCTGCAAACCATGAAGCCAGTATTGAGCAAGTATGAGGCCTCCATCCCTTCCTGCCAAATTCTGATTATGTGCATCCATGATTTCTCATCTTCTATTGTCTTACAAGCGACTCAAATGAATTTGTCATGCTTTCAACTGTTACATTGTTACTTCATTGACGTGACTAGAAATGCAAGAGTGAATAATATTTTTTTAGTAACATATTCCTTTTAACTGAATGTTTATTTCATTTTGAGCCTTTATCTATATCTAATCAAGAGTAGCAGTGGTTTGTTGTTCCGAGGAAATATTTCTGTAACTATGAATATTCTTTAGTCTGCATGGCTGTTTGATGGAGATAGTTATGCCCCTGTTCAAGATAAAGATAAAGTATCAGATGCATGAGAGTATGTATTGGAAACATATGCACCAACTCGTTCTTGTGCTCGGAGGTGGCAATTTCGCCATCCCTCAGCTTTCTATCTGTCTGAATCCTCAGTCTTAAGAAATATGAAGAAGCTCCCACGGCCCACCAAGGCAAAAAATTTAGTTTGTGTGTGTTCAAAGACTCTTTGTGCACCTGATATTTCCTCTTAACCTATATATTAGGCAATAGGAGATTGTATATTGCATATATTAGGCAATAGGAGATTGTATATTGCATATTTAGGCAGTCCAGTCAATTAGGATCAGAGATTTACTCCTGTCCTTGTATTTGTAAACTGCCATATATAGCAGCAGCAGCTGCCCTATAATAGAGGCGCCCCTCTCCCATTGAGAGTGTGGCTTATTGCCCCAACATCATCTTCTACACTATAAAAGAAAACTTTCAGAACTTGAAAGTGTGATCATAGGTTGTTTTTCAAGTCATATTTGGTTAAGTGGAAGCTAAATCTACTGCTTGACGAAAGTGTGATCATAGGTTGTTTTTCAAGTCACATTTTGTTGTCATGCTTATGTCACCCACTGCATCTTTATTTTTTCTTTGCACATGGAACTGCACTATAGTGTTTATTGATTTTTGGCCAAATCATCTCTAATAAACAGTAACTTATCTGATTGTCAACTTTGTGCAGTAAGGAAATTGCAAACTTTCATAGACCAAGAGGTAAGTGGTACCCACATGAAAATAAAATTGCCGCTCAGTTACAAGGAACTGCTTGTAGCCATGGGAGGATGGCTGTTTTACTTATGTCATTGGGAGGAAAAGGAGTCAAGATTTTGGTAAATGCTGAGGACACTCCGGTCTCTGTCAAATTAAAAGCATCAAAGAAGTTCGGTTGGTATCCGTTTACTACCCCCATTTGTTTTGATTTTTCTTTATTTGGAATTTTTTTGTTATGCTTATGCTTTTTGTTGAGCAGTTGGTTGCTAATGCATGTACTGTGTAATTTAGGCCCCCAAAAGGAAAGACAAATGGTCATTTCCTCCAGTTTAATTAGTTTTCTCACTGCCTTAGCTTTTTGCAGAATTGAAGCCTTCCGAGAAGATCAAATTGTTCTGTTCTGGGAAAGAGCTTCAGGATGACATCTCGTTAGCAATGCAAAATGTGCGACCAAACTCCATTGTGCATGTTGTTCGCACTGAAGTGTATCTATGGCCAAAAGCACAGAAATTACCTGGTGAGGACAAGCCTCTACGCCCTCCTGGGGCTTTCAGGAAAAAAACTGACTTGTCTATCAAGGATGGACATGTTTTTTTAATGGAGTAAGTACAATTTATTCCCTCTTATTTTTTCTTGAAGTATTAATTTCAATGAACCTTAACGTATGTGACTTTGTATAGACGCTGATTTTTTGAATGTTAGTAGCTAGTTCAACCAAGTGGTATTGCACAACTTTTGATGTGGCATGGTCTGTTAAGTTAAAATTTGATCATAGATATCTCTTGAATTATGTTGTTATGAGCTACAAAATTGTAACCGTAAGAATGCACATTGAAATTGGGATATTTTTCTACCAGTTTTGTATCTCATTGAACTCATATATAGTCGACCGAATTATTATCTAGAAGTTACTTCCTCCATCACATAGCTTTATTTATAGTGTTACGAACTTTGGCCAGAGATTTCTCGTATAATATTTTATTAATAGTTACAAAATCACAATTCTATGTACCTTTGAATACAAATCCAATGACACCAATTTTCTATGATTTGATCACATACCTCGTAGATTCTTATATTAATTTATCGATTAAACTCTTGCTTGTCGATATTATGGACTTCCTATCATGGTAGCACATGTGTTAGTGACACATGAATGCAGATACTGTGAATAGAGAGCTCTGATACTTTACAATGATTTTTTTTATTCTTTTACCTCTATATTTTGGCCAAGTGCTTATCATTATGTTTATATGTGCAAGACTGTGTTGGTTATGCACATTGGCAAATTCTGATTATGTTTTTTCCCCACTATAGTAATTCATCTGTCATTTATTGCCTTGAGTGCAGATATTGTGAAGAGAGACCTTTGCTTCTCTCGAATGCAGGAATGGGAGCCCGTCTCTGTACATATTACCAGAAAACTTCCCCAACTGATCAGACAGCTGCATCACTGCGAAACAACAGTGATGGACTGGGCACAGTGCTTGCAATTGATCCTTCTGACAAATCCCCTTTTCTAGGAAATATACATTCTGGGTCCCACCAATCTTGTCTTGAAACAAACATGTACAGATCACCTGTATTTCCTCATAAGGTTGCACCAACTGATTACTTATTAGTTCGTTCAGCCAAAGGGGCGCTTTCCCTCCGTCGCATTGACAAGCTATATGCTGTTGGCCAACAAGTAAGCTCTGGTGCCTGAAATACTATGTTTTGTATAAGTAGGATGTGCAATGTTTCCAGCCCTTTCCTATCTGAAGTTTCTCCTTATATTGTCAAGTACAGGATTCCCTCACTGAATTCTCTGCTGTGGTGCAATTCCAAGCTTTACACTGCAGACCATGTTCCGAAATATTCATTGTTTCCTCTTAGGTTTAGCTTGTGCTTTTTATGTGTGGGACCTTTAGGCTTTACCGCTTTAGTGAACATAGCTGAAACATTGGATATTCCTTTGTTACAGTGGTAGAGATAGCTCTCGTCCATCATGTTTTTCATTTATGCTTAGCAGGGAAATTCAATTTGTTTTATTGATAGGGATCTGCTATGAAGTTCAGTAATGTAGTGTGTTGCATGTTTAGAAGCTTCTCTGGTGCAGTTTTAGCATGGCATTGCACTTGTTGAATGACCCTACACGGTGGCAGTTTGTTGTCAGCAGGTGAGAACAGAAGTACATGAGAACATCTGAACATGAACGTTACAAATATGACTGATATATGGTTATTGATTTCTGCGTAAAAGTCTGAAGAAATTATGTTCCGTATTCACTTCTTTTGTCAAACAAATGTAACACTCCTTGAGTTCTTTGTTTTTGGTGTCAAGAATACTCCTTGAGTTCTTGTTTCCATTCAATTTCTGCTGTTGTTAGAACAGTACATTTAAAATAAATCATAAAGTGTTTAGGAGCTGTTCTGTCTTGGAACTTTAACAATTTCATCCATAACTTAATAGTCATGGTTTCCTGCAGGAACCTCATATGGAAGTCTTTTCACCAGGGACTAAGAACGTGCAGAATTATCTTCTGAACCGAGTTCTTGCATATGTTTATCGTGAGTTTCGTGCTAGAGAGAGGCCTGATGGTATTCCTCAGATTCGAGCTGACGAGTTACCCATACAAAGTCCTCTGACAGAAGCTATAGTGAAAAAACGGTTGAAGCATTGTGCAGATTTGAAGGTATCTGTCTAGTTTCTTTATCTGTACATTTTTATATTTTAATTCTGGACTCTTATTCAACCATACTTAATGCTCTCCTGCACTTCCTTACAGAAAGGACCAAAGGGTCATTTTTTCTGGACACAGAGACCTGATTTCCGGGTTCCATCAGAGGAAGAACTGAGGAGATTATTGACGCCAGAAAGTGTGAGTTTCTGCAAATTATTGTTGCCCTTGTGTCAATCAGTTGTTTCTTGATGACAAATTTTTTTCCACGAAAGGATGGCAAAAGCTTTGCCGCAAATTTTATTAGAAGAAGAAAAAAAAAAGTATTGGCCCAGTTTTTTTTGGGAAACCGGGCCCGAAAACCCAACAACACCTCCCCCAAACACAACTACTAAAACAACAAAAGTTCTCCACGGACAAACTCAACACCACTAGCTGCTCAGAAAAACAAACAATGAGCCAACTAGAAAGAAACAGCCAAACCACTAAACAACTCACACTCCAGCTAAACCGACTAAACATCTATCACAACTAATAACCAAACATCTACCAAGGCAAAATGGCACCAACTTGGACAACAACTATCAGGCTTCAAAGGTCTTGCATGCTGTCGCTCCAAACCTTTTCAATGCTCCTTTCACTAAAAACCGGCCAAGTCTTTTGCCAATCGCCAATACAACAACAGATCTGGATGGCAAGCTTATCTTTCGAAGAAATGCTTTATTTTGCACGGAAATTCTCGTGGAAATGTGAATGCTTATCACATCGTGCTGGCTATATATGGACCACAAGCACTGGTTATTAAGCCATACCCACATTTCCAAATATATAGGGTGAAATGTTTTTAAAAATTGGGTCATCAGAGTAAGTTGACTGCGAATATTTTTCTTATAGAAAGTTCTATTGAAAGCAAAAATACCTAAATAATGAGGATATTTATTCTTTGAAGGTTGCCTTACCTTGTTGCCTTGGTGTCTAATTACAGTTCTCTTTTCAATCCGAAATATCACGATGACTCAACTAAAACATCATTATCCAGGTTTGCTGTTATGAGAGTATGCAAGCTGGTCTTTATCGTCTCAAGCGCTTAGGAATTCTGAAGCTTACTCAGCCTGTTGGACTGGCTTCTGCCATGAATCGGCTTCCTGATGAGGCTATTGAGCTTGCTGCTGCATCACATATCGAGAGGGAACTGCAAATCACTAGCTGGAATCTTACAAGTAATTTTGTTGCTTGTACTAATCAGGTACCTTACTCTTTGTCTCATATGGTGTTTTACTCAAGTAATCTGATCCGGAACATCACTAGTTTTATTCAATATCAGTTCATTGACCTAAAACCATGTATTGTTCGTAAAAACTGCTGAGTGCTACTTGATGTGCTCTATGCTTTAGAGAGACTGCAGATAACCTTCATATTTATTCGTTCCCGATTAATATTGGGAGATAAGGGTCACTGTTTGGTATCAACAGAAAGAAAACTTGTACAGGGTAATTAGTTGTTGATCACATTAGGTCTTGTTGGGTGTACAGACAATGAGAGCAGGAATGCTGGGAGCCCTGTCCATTTCCTATGATGTTGATTTACATGGAATATCCCCCCTCGACCTGTTGATCTTTGGATGTGACATGGTCCAGAAAACCCAGCTGAGTCCATGGCGATTCCCCTCAGCCCACTGGGATAAATAAGTCTTCGTGGGATGGGTACTTTTGATTCCATTTGGCCTGAGCTACCGGAGAAGTAATAGAGCTCTAGCGTTACCAGAATTATAAATTAAGCTCTGGAGAAGCCATAGCGATTCCATCTGCTTAAAGGTTGAATAAATTTGTGTCCTGTAGTGAGCCAGATTCAGTTTTCTTGGTGTGTTTTTTTTTTCAAAAAAAGGTTTTGAAGTTTGGTGATTTTATTAAACTACAGTATATATGTTTGGGTGTATAACTGCCAGTCTGCCACTGGTAGGATATATGCTCTCCAATCAACAAAAAAACCATATAACCAGCCGGTTTTGGACCTCCATTGTCCTGTATATCAGAAAGTTGGTGTGCCTTAGTACCCAGCAAGATAGATGGGATGTTAGAGAATTAAGATTGATTCAGGTGAGGTATGTTAAAAGTGGGAGAAACATGACACTAAGTGGAGGAGAGAAGAGAATCAAGGAAGTAGAATAATCAGTTTAAACAGATATATTGGTAGCGTTTCTATCCTGGCAAAGTTAAAGGATGGCAGTCCTAGTTTGGTTGGGTTATGTATGTTCGAATGCATGTCTATCTGTGCGTTTTTTTCTAAATGCAAAATGTAAAGATATATGATGCTAATTTTCCTTGCTCCCTAGTTTCTTGGTATACATTTTCCTGATTTTAATCAAATTTCCTTTGGTGCGTGCAGGACAGAGAAAATATAGAAAGATTAGAAATAACTGGTGTTGGAGATCCATCTGGTCGTGGGTTAGGATTCAGCTATGTGCGAGTAGCACCAAAAGCACCTGCCTCCAATTCAGTGCTCAAGAAGAAGTCAGCTGCTGCAAAGGGTACCACTGTAACTGGGACTGATGCTGATCTCCGCAGGTTGAGCATGGATGCAGCCCGTGAGGTACCATTGTACTAATTTATGTAATAATAAACATAGGAGACATTGCCTGGCTTTGGAGATATTGGCATGCCTAAGGGTGTGTTTCCCAGGCAAGACTGCCTGGCTTGGGCGTCGCTCCCTGGCGTCTGATTTCAGAGGCCTGGGGCTAGGATCGATGCCTGGCGGGAATCTTGCCTGGGAGGCTACGAAAAAGCCCTAATATCATTGAACATGCTTCAGTATATATGAACATATAGAGTGTGTATTAATATTTGATGGTCTTTGGCATTCTTATTTAGGGGATCATTATATTATGCAAGCCACATGTGGGTCCTCTAAACAAGAAACACTTGCCTCCATAAAATGAAAACAATTCTCATTTTGCCATTGCAGTGTTGACTTACACAATAACAGGTGGGACCTACTCCCATACGTACTCGGTGGCATCTTGGCATACTGACTTTCACTCTGTTGAAGCAGACATCTCCGATCTCTTTCATTATTGCATTATAGTGTATGAGTGACTTCTTTTCCTAGCTTAATTGAAGGGCAAAGCTCCTGCCATTTGTGTTTTAAAAAATTATAGTGTATGATTGATTAAAAAAACTGGACCAACCTAGGAGGAACTAGGTGGCTTTATGTTAACAAGAAAGTAGGCACTCAAATGCACCTCGATGAGGACTTGAACTAGGTGACATTCACACCCTCAACCGAGCTAGGCTGAGCTTAGTGTATGTGTAATACTTTTGAGAATGAAAATTGTGAATCTTTTTAGGAAACATAAACTTATTCCAGCCATTGCATAGTTTGCATACAGCCTGGTTCATTGATACATCATATCAGCTCACAGCTGAGAATTTGAAGGAAGCAACTATAATAGAATATATGGTGTATCATTTATCATTGATCACAAAGCATATTGCTAAAATCTGCACCCATTCTTGGTGAAAAGGAAATCCATAGTGACCACCTCCAAAGCTTGGCATGTGTTGCATGTCCTTCATTTATTCCACCTTTATACTTTGTTCACTAAATAATTGATGCACTGCTATATATAGTTGCTGCTGAAATTCGGCGTACCTGAAGAGCAAATTGATAAATTAACAAGGTGGCATCGGATTGCTCTGGTGAGGAAGCTTTCAAGTGAACAAGCTGCATCGGGAATTACTATTGACGAAATTCCTGTTAGTAAGTTTGCACGTGGACAAAGGATGTCTTTTCTGCAACTTCAGCAGCAAACTAGGGAGAAATGTCAGGAAATTTGGGACAGACAAGTTCAGTCACTTTCAGCTATAGATGGTGATGACAATGGCAGTGACACAGAAGCTAACAGTGATCTAGACTCATTTGCTGGGGATCTTGAGAACTTGCTAGACGCAGAAGAATTTGATGATGAGGATACTAGTACAGCAGACTTGAGAATTGACAAAGCAGATGGAATGAGAGGACTTAAAATGAGAAGGTGCTCTTCGCATGCCCAAATTAACGAGGAAATTGAAGATGATGAAACAGAAGCCTCTCTGGCAAAGAAACTACTTGAAGGTAGTTATTTTCTTCTATGTTCTTTGCAAAACTGACCGCTGGTGCATATGATTTATGGCCTCTTACGATGCAGACGATGGTAATGATGTCAAGAGGAAAAAGCAGCCTGCGGAATTGACAAATTGTGGCACCTCTATAGGTGCCAATAAAATGAAGCAGAGTAAGACTGGGCAAATGATCAAATCATCTGGTTATGCTGGTGCATTAACCCCAAAGGAGAGCACACCAAGAGAAGGAAAAGAGGTATTAGTCTATCTGAGGTTCTGGACCTGGTCTTCATTGTCCTGTCCTTTTGATTTATTGTTATTCTGGCAGAAACAATCTGTAATGATGATTCATCTTACTCCATGCAGGTTGAAAATTCTTTTGCTGAGGGTGGTTTGCCCTCAAAACTAAAACCAAAGATGGCACTTGATGTAAATGAGATCCTTCTAGTTAAAAAGAAAAGTGTTCTAGGAAAGGATGGACCGAAGGTAAGCCCAGAAAGACGACTATGATATGTGAAGAAGTTCTATCCACATGAATACTTTTGTGTGTCGACTTGAATCAGCTTTTTTCTCCATTATACTTATTTTAATATTAGACACCTGCACCAGTGCATATGGTATAATGATATTCGGTACGTCAATTATGTTGCACTTGTGGTGTTTTCCTTTCCATCAGGCTTAACGCAGAAGTAGCTGATGGGTGTTAATCTAAGTTGGAAAACAAAATGCGCAAGTTTGTATTTGTAATATGGTGGCAGTTTAAGGTATTGCTGCCATTCAGTGCCACTGGATATTGGTTTGCTATTGTGTCTGTAAAAGTATTAGGTTGGAAGTATGCTCTAAAATTCTAAAATTGAATACGTGTTAGTTTGATGATTCATAGAGAAGCTTTCTTTCTCAAACGCGCGATACATATAGAAGCTGATCTGGTCTTGCTATTGTGGGTCTTATGTGGCATGCTTTTCCATATTTTCAGGAGAAGAAACAGGGTGCAAGGGGGGATACTCTTGTTTGTGGAGCCTGTGGTCAGGTAGGCTCAGTAAAGCAATTTCTTGCATGCGCCCTTCTGAAAAATATTATTATGTTTCATGACTTATTTTTTTTTTGTCTCATTGCTGTTGTATAGGTTGGGCATATGCGGACTAACAAACTGTGCCCCAAGTATGGTGAGGATCCAGAAATTTCAGAAATGGATGCTAATTCAGTTAAGTCCAACCCTACGGATATAAACCATTTGCAAGCAAAGATACCTAAAAGATTGATAACAAAAGTTTCCTCTGAAGTTGCTGAAACTGAAGGGCCAGAAGGTATTGAAAAGACAAAATCTGTCCCAGTAAAATTCAAAGTAGGGGCACCTGATAAATCCTTGGAGAGGAACATGTCACTCTCCGTTTCACTCATTTCTGATAAACGTGTCATGGATGTTACAGACAGTAGATCTACTGGAAAGGTAAATAAGATAGTGATACCTAATAAGATGAAGTCTGATGATTTCCCTCCTGACACTCCAAAGCCATCTGTTGTATTTCGGCCTCCTGCTGAAGAAAAGAATGCACCTCTCAAAAAGATCACCATCAAGCAGCCTAAAGGCATAGACCAGCAAAGACATGTTGAACCTAGGAGTGGTCAGGAGCCCACCAGAAAGACAAGAAAAATTGTAGAATTATCGAGTTTTGAGGATAAAAGTAGAGAGGATGATCATTGGTTTGGTGGGGAACCCAGCCAGATGAATTCCTTGCATGAGAGGAGGCTGGGTCTGGAAGGAAAAAGAAGCAAAGCCATAATGCAAAATGACAGATCCTGGAGAGATTTTGAGGAGCAAAGAGAAATGCCACAGCCAAGGCTCTTTGATGCTACGATATATGCATCCAGGGATGAAGACCATCTAAAGGCAAAAAAGAAAATAAAGAAAAAGAAAAAACATGAATTCAAAGATGATGACTTACTTGATCACAGGCCGTACAGAAATGACAGAAGGGTACCTGAAAGACATCGAGCAGTAAAAAGATCTAGTCCGGCTCATGTGATTGGATATGCGTCATCTGCTAAGCGTCGCAGAGGAGGAGAGGTGCATTTTCTTAGCTTTCACCTATATGTTTATTGCAAGTGCTTTGGAAAATGACGATAGCATCACCTGTGTTAATGTCTTGCCTCTTGCCTATTGAGAATATAGCTGTGTGATAAAACAATAATCATGGCAAAAGAGAGAAAATATCATTAAAATAAACACACTAAAGGATTAAAGCTAGTATGTCTTGTCTTTTGAAATGCAGTAAATTTCTGTGGTTTTAGTGTTACTGTCCACCCACTTGTTTAAGTATTTTACCACTATTTGATAATTGTTTTGCTGAACTTTTTCTATACAAACTGATAATTTGATACAGTAGGGTTTGCTTATTGCATTGTACAACTGTTAAAAGAGAATAAAGTAAATTACACGTGGAGGGATTTGTTGGAAATGGAATTCGGGCTTGATTAATTGCTTCCTCGTCATGCAGGTTGAGCTCTCCAACATATTGGAAAAGATAGTTGATCACTTGCGGGGTTTGAGTGGATCACTGCTATTTTTAAAACCAGTGACAAAGAAAGATGCTCCTGATTACCTTGACTTCATACAGCACCCAATGGATCTTGGTACCATTAGAGACAAGGTGAGAAAGATGGAGTACAGAAACCGGGATGAATTCAGGCACGATGTAGCACAGATACAACTGAACGCACACTTATACAATGACGATCGCCATCCTCACATCCCTCCACTCGCTGACGAGCTCATGGAGGTCTGCGACTATCTGCTTGACCAAAGTGCAGATCTGCTCACCGAGGCGGAAGATGCTATTGAATAGCAATATAATAATTAGATTTAGCATGTGGATCTTGCTATAACCTAACATAGATGATGTATTTGCTGATCTGTAGGAGGGGAAAAGTTGTACATTTTTGGGTCCTAGCAGTAATTTACATACAATCCCAAATCCAGCTGTTTTTACCTACTGTTGGTATTGGGTTGGGAGTTAGTGGAAGTACAAAAGATCTAGGTTAGTCACAAAGAATCCGGTGTAACCAATGGCCTCATGTTGTAAAAATGTAGAATGTAATCTGTCCATATACATGATATCGGTCCATCAATCCGATTGTCTTGCAGTATTTGATGTAATGTGAATGGCGTTCAAGTGCAGCATGAATCAATAGACTGCAGCACGTGCCTGGGTGCACACTTTCTAACTTCTCTAGGTCTTTTTCCAACCTCAGCCTGTTCGGTTGACTGGTTCATATCGTTGCTGGTTCATGAAGAAGTACCGCTGACTGGTTTGTGTGAGAAAAAAATACTGTTCCGGCTAGAAATTTACGATCGTATACGACAAGCACAAGCCAAACGAACATGCTCTTATTTCTTATATCTGGAGGTGTATGCTTTGAACCCTGAACCACAAAGCTGTTGGACAAATTTCAATCATGCCGAAATGACCAAGGTCAGCTCAGGCCTCTGAGTCTGAACCATCTGATATGAATAGTATAATGCATCTGTTGGCAACTTGGCATCTATCGTGGCATGTAGTTACGTCTTTAATCGGACGTCTGACATGGATGCCCAAAGTCAATACTAGTAACAAAACGATCTATGCCAGACAAGTTATTTTGCTTAACTTGCGAGACGTTTAATGATGTGCACTGGCCTTGACTGGGTACTCATGGCGATGTCATTGGATGTTACCCATGGATGTTAACCCAACCGGGCGATTATTCGTCGTTTTAAACAATGTGCTACGCGCACTTCCGTACTCCCGTGTGTCCTTATTGCACAAAGAGATAAGTTTTTTTTTTAAATCTAGGATTATACACCTATTATTTTTTTTAAAAATCTTGGATATATACACCTATTAGAGTATAGACAACTTAATGGCATGTTTGGATCCACCATCTAATCTTTAGCTGACTAATTTAGTTGCTAGGGATCCAAATGGCCTAGCTAAAAGACCAGCTAAAGCTTAGGTGAGTTTAGCTACTTCAACCCAGCTAAACCCAATTAAAGTTTAGCTGAGTCTGTTAGCTGGAGGATCCAAACACTCGAGCTAAAAATTTAGCTGGGAGAACTTTTAGCTGGCTAAAGTTTAACTTTAAAATTTTACCTAGCTAAGCTTAAGTTGGGTGGATCCAAACAGGCCCTATTAACGTTCGATTTGAGATGCTCTCACCTAAGGTATAGCAGTTCCCACACGGCTAAGGAAAGTTTCAGAAACCTAGAAAGGTACGATGGCGCTTGGATCGTCTGTTCAGGACAAGGAACACCTTTTTTTTTTTTAAAAAAAGAAAGGCAGGAGACGAACATCTGGTCTCAACATATTTATTATATAAAAATACTTTTTGCAATGGCAGTGACGAAACTGCGAAATGGCCTGAATTTATTTACTCGAACAAGCAGAGCTCTTCGCAGCGCCTCATAACAAGCTCTCCATTACTTGGCAACAGATGGAGACCCGGCCAGCACCCAGCAGCGTTTGCATGCATCTCCCAGACGCACACGGACACGGTCACACCTAACACCTTGTGCCCATGCATCCACTTCTCTGACGACAAAGAAAACATTACAATTTTCGAGCGACCAGTTCGCCGATTGCTGAGTGCATATACTCGGTCATGTACACATTTCGCAGTTGATTTGATCAGCGTCGCCTCGGAGCTTCGCTTGCGTAGGCAGGGCAGCCATGGGACCGTCTGGCAGAAGCTGGCTCGTCGTCCTCCTCGTCTCTGCAACCCTCTGCGCCCATGTATCAGGTATAGCCTTTTCATTCACATGAGGAACTTCTTGTGCGGACGGAGATCGGTGAGCTGATATGTAGAGGAATCGCAGCTGCGGCGTCCAACACGACCGTGTTGGCGGCGGAGCGGACGCGGCGGAAGGATCCCCTCGACGGGCTCAGGTACTACAACGGCGGCTGGAACATCAGCAACAGGCACTACCTGGCGGTGAGTTCTTGGTTTCTTTTTGTGTCTGCCGGCTGCCGCTTGCCAGTTCAAAGCACGATTCATGGTGTTGCATGCAGTCGGCAGGTTTCAGCGCGGCGCCTGTGTTCGCGTTCGCCGCGCTCTGGTTCGTCGCGGTCGCGGCGGCGGCGCTCGTCGCCTGCTGCTGCAGCTGCTGCTGCTGCCGCGGCGGCGGCGGCAGCAGCAGCTACTCCTACTCGCGCCGGGTGTTCGCGCTCTCGCTCCTTCTCCTGCTCGTCTTCACAGCCGCAGCCGTGTAAGCAAAGCAACCGATCCCAGCTCGATCAACCAACCAATCGTCGCACCTGCGTGCGGATAAGCCGGCGGCAATCATGGATTGATGGTGACATGGTGGTGTTGCAGCATCGGGTGCGCGGTTCTGTACGACGGGCAGGGCAAGTTCAACGGCAGCACGACGGCGACGCTGGACTACGTGGTGAGCCAGGCTGACGGCGCCGCGGCCACCATGCGCAACTTCACGGGCCTCCTGCAGACGGCGAAGACGGTGGGCGGCGGCGTGGCCTCGCTGCCCCCCGACGTCGCGCGGAGCATCGACGACGTCGCGCGTCGGGTGGACGCGGCCTCCGACGAGCTCACCGCGCGCGCGGCCAGCAACTCCCGCAGGATCCGGACAGCGCTGGACACCATGTACGTACGAAAGACGAAACGTCGCCGCTGACTCTAATTCATTGTCGTCTGCGACCTGCCTGCGTGATTCTTGATGGGTTGGGCGCGAGATGAACTCGTGACACCATCCATGGATATGGATGATCTTGATCGGTTGTTTGCTTTACGTGATTGCAGAAGGAAGGTCCTGATCGGCGTCGCGGCCGTGATGCTCGTCCTCGTGCTTGTTGGCTCCGGTGAGCATAAATTGCTCTTACCAAGTCTTAAAAAGAAGAAAAATATATATCTACTTGTTTACTTGACCTGCTTGAAACTACGACATCGTTTATTTTTCTGATTCTTACGCAATTTCTCTCAACAATTTGTTGCAGTGTTCTCGTTGACCGGGAAGAAGTCGCTTGTATCCATGTAAGCACATTAGCACAGCATACAGAGAACATACTCATCCAATTCTGACTGTGACTGTAGTTGATGGAACACGTTCTTTCAGAGATTATGTTGGTGTGCTAAGTTTCAGTTTCTGAATTTTGGCAGAGTGGTGTTTCTTGGATGGATGATAATCACCGCGACACTAATACTGTCCGGCACTTTCCTTCTCCTGCACAAGTAAGCTGTTGTCGCCTGCTGTGGTTTGATTTAGACGATTTTGAACAAATATGGATGTTTTTGTTCCAGTTCGTCCAAATTTGAAACTCATTTTCAAATGCTTAGTACTGTACAAGTTAAAACAGAGCATACTGCGACCTTTGAACTTGGCCATGTGTTCAGCGTGATAGGAGACACCTGCGTGGCCATGGACGAGTGGGTGGTCCAGCCGCAGGGGCAGAGCCACACCGCGCTGGACGACATCCTCCCCTGCGCCGACGCGGCGGTGACGGCGGAGGCCCTGCGCCGGAGCAAGGAGGTCAACTTCCAGCTCGTCACCAAGCTCAACGAGCTGGTCTCCAACGTGTCCAACCGCGACGTGCCTGCCCAGGTCGGCCCTCCGCTCTACTACAACCAGTCCGGGCCTCTCGTGCCGCTCCTCTGCAGCCCCTACAACTCCGACCTCTCCGACCGACCGTGCGCCGCCGGCGAGGTCGCCGCCGACAACGCGCAACAGGTACGCACGCACGCCGTACGGCACGGCACGGACAAAGAACCGCTATCGCCAATTCGCCATGGCGCGTCGTTGGTTGCGTCATGTCTGACGCGCTTTTGCATTGCGTTGTTCGCATCAGGTGTGGCAGCGCTACGTGTGCCGCGCGACGGGGTCGTCGGGGCAGGAGGTGTGCTCGACGGTGGGCCGCCTGACGCCGGCGATGTACTCCCAGATGGTCACCGTGGCCGGCCTCAGCGAAGGGCTGCGCGGGCAGTCCCCCGCCCTGGCCGACATCGCGAGCTGCGTGACCGTGCGGCGCGCGTTCCAGACGGTGAGCCAGCGCGGCTGCCCGCCGCTGCGGCGGGACAGCAGCCGGGTGTACCAGGCGCTGCTCGCGGCGTCGGTGGCCGCGATGCTCGCCGCGGCGGCGTGGGTGGTGCACTCCCGGGAGCGGAGGCGGCGCCGGGAGAGCGAGCGGTTCAAGGTGTCCCCGTACAGGCTCCCCATCGAGGATAAGGTGCTGCTCAGCAGCCCCAGACGGCCGTACAGGCGAGTGTAACAGGAGCTTGATCACCAGCCAGACGCCGACAGATTTCTGCAGCACAGTGACGACGGTGCAGGTCCGGTAGAAAAAAAAAAGAATCTGAGAGGAAATTCGTCTTCTGAATTGGCGTGATATGGACGTGTATTTACGCAGCAGTTTTGGCAGTAGAATTATGTACACTATATGTATCTGTCCTTGTACTGTGATAATTGTACATGAGTAGTTTTGCGAATAAATTACCTTCCTCTTGGATCACACCGCACCAATCTGTGTGTTTGTGATGTGGAGAAAAACACACACAAAAAAAGCAAAAACACAGAAGAGAGAGGTGAGGCAGTCACGCCCTTGGGTTTGGGGCCTCAGTAGCGCCCAGGCGCAGCAGTTGAGGCTCAACGGCGAGCGCCCCAGCAGCTCCTGCGCCCGTCGCCCCGCCTGCCCAACCACCAGCGCGCCCAGCTGCGCGCCGCCGCCCACACAACCCAGGGCACGGTACACGCGGCTCCACCCAGCTCACGAGTGTGTTCTGCTTCACCGATCCGGAGGCGGACGCAGCGCGCCGCTCGCCCATGCCTCTCCTCGCTGGGCTACTAGCCCCATCAGGCCATCACCCGCGCACCGTCGGCATGTCGCGCCGTGTGAGCGCCGTGCGCGACCGGTCTGGAGCACGCCATCGCCGGCCGTGCCCGCTCGGGAAGCCTCGGCCTCAACAACGCGCTGAAGCTGTTCGACAAATTGCTTCTCCACGCCAGGCCGCCTCGGTTATTGCCTTCAACCAGATCCTCACTGCTGTCTCACGTGCCTCAGGCCGGCTGGAATCTTGCCTTGGAGGCTACGGAAAAGCCCCTTAATATCATTGAACATGCTTCAGTATGAACATATAGAGTGTGTATTATGGTCTTCGGCATTCTTATTTAGGGGATCATTATATTATGCAAGCCACATGTGGGTCCTCTAAAAAAAGAAACACTTGCCTCCATAAAATGAAAACAATTCTCATTTTGCCATTATAGTTGTTGATCACATTAGGACATTAGGTCTTGTTGGGTGTACAGGGAATGAGAGCAGGAATGCTGGGAGCCTAGTCCATTTCCTACGATAGTTGATTTACATGGAATTGTTAAACACTTTGGACCATCTAGATGTAGATCAGAGGGTGATATCTTTACTAATTGAATCAAATAGACCTAGAGCTTGCTTCGGGGAAAGGAGACAGAGAGAGAGAGATGTAGGAGCATCTGACCGTCGGAGGGGTTGGAGGAGCTCCATGCCATCGCTAGTTCGTCGGTGAAGCTCTACGCACGGGCAGCGACGGTTGGTGTAGCGGTGGAGACCGGCGGTGGTGGCAAAGGCAGTGGCGCTTCCCGTCGCTGGCAGTGCCTCCCTCTCGACCGGACTAGGGTTAGACAATGGAATTGTGGCGGCGGCAGTGAACCTCTTCTTTTGAGAGCCGTTTGCCTCACCTCCTTTTTATAGGCACTGTGCGACGGGGGTCCACTAGCCACTAGATGGCTGGACGTCCCCGATCAGGACGCGGTCAAGGGGTCCGTCTCGACCGTTGGATCAAGACGGATGAGATCAATTCTAACATTCTCTCCCTTGATCTTAACTCATACTTTAACTTTAAACTTTGACTTTAATCCCTTTCACTTTTATTTGTTCCATCACAGATTAGTGCATAGAGCATGCTTCGTCGTTATGGTCAATCGCCGATAGACTTAACAGCTACAATACACATCTCTGTTCTGAAACAGATTCTTTAACTTTTGGGTCCTTTATTGTCCGAAAATCATAGGCTATACCATAAACCCATGTCGACTGTGTGTTCTCTAAACACACAGGGTGATAAGCCTTTTGTACGTGGATCCATAAGCACTTGCTTGTTACTTTTATGTTCAATACTTTTAGTATGATTCCGAACTTTCTTCTTCACAACGTATAACTTTAACGTCAATGTGTTTGGCAGCACAATTGACCCGTTGTTATAGGAGCGAACTACTTAAATGGTTATTGCTGTTGTATACCATTATCAATTCCGGATGTAAGTTCTTTTAACCATTTCGCCTGTCCTTAAGCCTCATAACAAGCTATATTGTGGGTATGCATCTTTGATGACACCACAACTGTTTCTTTGGAGCTTTTTCACAATAAAACTCTAACTGTGAGTGTTAGCTACTATGTGGGTTTCACTAAACATCTCGCCAAAATTTAACATTTGTACCCACAACTATTTAAGAGTACCTATTCTTTCTTACTCACCATGAGGCCTATAAATCTTTGCACAATTGCAAAACATTCTCAACTCCATTCCAGTGATCTATATCTGGACTGGACTTCTGCCAAAACATCCCGGATACATGAACTATGTCAGGGTAAGTTCTTACTTATAAGCACTCATTAAGCTTCCAACAGCTGAATCATATAGGACGTCCTTTCGATCTCACATTGGTTCTTGGAACACTGAAAGTTCCCAAAACTATTATCCTTGACTATAGGAACAGACGCAGGTTTATTCACATATATACTTTATTTCTTTAGAATCTTCTCTCAGTATACACTTGAGATAGTTCTAATACCCCTTTTCCTTTTGTCTCGGTAAGTTCCAATTTCTGGAACGAATGACGCTTTACCAAGATCATTCTCATTGAAACTTGAGGACAAGAAACGCTTCTTCTCCAACAGTAGATTAACACCACTACTAGCGAGCAAGGTGCTATCCACGTGCCGGATTAGGGAAATTGATTTCCCATGTTTAAACTTTGCATAAATACAATTATCCTCTACATTCTCTTTAAACCCAAACTTTTTTATTGTACTGTCAAAATTCAAGTACCAATGTCTTGAAGCTTGCTTTAATCCATAAATGGATTTCTTCAGGCAATATCCCTTACGTTCTTTTTCTTCCATGACAAAACCTTTTGTGTTGTGCCATGTAAACTTTCCATACAAACCCCATTGAGGAATGTGTCTTTAGATCCTACTGATGTAACTCTAAATCGTAGTGTGCCATTAACGCCATTATGATTCTAAAAGAATCGTTGCATTCTCATTATAATCTATTCCTTCTCTTTGTGTAAATCATTTCGCCACAAGTGGCGCTTTATAGCTTTCCATATTCCCTTTGGAATCACATTTATCTTGCAGACCCATTACAGCCTACTATTTTGGCTCCATTTGGAATTTCTTCTTAGTCCCAAACATCGTTGGTATTTATCGATTTCATTTCATCTTCCTTTGCTTCTTGCCATTTAGACGAGTGAACGCCTCTCATGGTTTTTTCAAATGAGATGAAATTACCCTCTATTTGAATTTCTTTCTTAACATTGACTCCTTAGTCACTAGAAATATCTGATTTTCTTATTCTTTAAGACCTTCTGGGGCCTCGTGGCACTTCTTTCATATGGGGCTATTGTTACTCTTCATTGCCAAAAGGCAATTGTTCTATAGCCTCCTGTATCACAAGATCCGTGTTTACTTATTCATCTTCTTTAAGAGCTAACATCTGGTGTTGTATATGCCATACAACATCAGCATGTATTAAGCAAGCAATTTGTTGCTCTAAAAACACTGTAGTGGATATGTAATCTCACTTCTATTCAAGCCTTAGGTATCTACATACCATGCTCCCCCATATTACTCTATCTTCTGTAAAGATGGTGTATCTTCAAATTTCTTATTTTGGGTTTAATCTGCTAAAACCTCATATGGCGCGTTTAGCACCGCCTTGATAACTCTGAACTTGTCTAGTATAAATACTAGCCGACTATGCTATCTTTCTATCGGAACTGTAAAAGGTCCAGGAATTTAGCTATTTCTGTACTTTAGGGGTATCGTTATTATGACCGTATTACTCTCTCAACGATCATATTCATCTTTTATAGATCACTTTTACCTTCAATGCATAGTATGCATTGCATTATCTGAAGTATGGGGAAATATCTTTCTTAATTGTCTTTCTTAATTAATCTTACATTTCTCCCCCTCAAAATGTAGTATGAACTTTTCTACCACAATTTTGAAACATTTAGAACTCTTGTGAATGAGGAAACTTTGATTACTTACTTCATCCACATGATTACATCATGCAAACAAAATTCGTATGGGAGTACATTTTCCTCATTACACTTCAAAACTCAACATAGTCTATTATTATCAATACTTCTGCAAGTCACGCTTGCATATCATTCTTATCTTTTGGTTCACATGCAACTTTTTTTTGTTCTTAAACTCATTGAGTACTTAATGACCATAACACAATCAGAGTGTACGGTCAATACTAGGATAGCATAAGAGCTACCCCAAACTTCTCTCCATGTGTAGGATACACTTAGAGCACATGAGTCATCACATCCTTCTCCCGCCATGCGGGATAAGTACTATGCCAAAACTCTCCCGCCATGCAACATTGGTTAACATATGTACTATGCCAACTTTACCCCGCCTTGTGGGTATTTTCTCAAACTTTTCCTGCCATGCGAGTACTATCACAAACTTTTTCTGTCATGTGAGATAATTCCCTTAAACGGACATAAATGTCAGGATTGGCTCGTGTTCAATCATCAAATTTAGAAATAAATCCGAATACTCTTTAACACACATGTTTAATCCAATGTTAGTTAAATTAAACATGTATATGACTTTTACAACTCTCATAAGTGAAACTGGAAATAAATTCTTCTTCACAGAGAGTACATAAAAGACATTTCTCAATGAAGACTCTCATTGATCTATCTCTTTTCTTGGATCAATATCCTAGAATTCTTTTCTTTTGAAGCAATTCTTTAAAGAGAACACAGTCCCTTAAGTAATGACATTCTTTCATACATAACTTGCCCTTAGGCATTTCATCATCTGAGTCACAAGTACCCAACTTATTTCTCTTACTGCCTTCAAGAATGAAAGCATAGAAGTCTTTTGTCTGAAAAAATATTCAACAATAATGCTCATTAAACTTTGAAATCTTTATGTTCTATTCTATATCACCGTTGGGTAGAAATAGAATAAAACATCATTCTCCTACATTAATTCCACATCACCGTTGGACAGAAATGGAATTAACGTATAGAAATTCAATAATCTTGAAAACATAGAACTGCTCCTCAAAATTAAATTCTCCCGTTGGTTCGAATTTAATTAGAAGACAATCAACTTCATTGCAGTGGAAACATGAAAATACATTTCTCTAGTTTAAGAGCATTCCTTGATCTTTATCTATTCTCTAAAAATTGGTCACTTTGATGTAAAATTTATCAGAGATTTAAACTTTAATCATAAAACTCATAAAATTATAATATTGTTATCATCAACGTTGATCAGAAAATAACAATACCATAATTTAACTTTAAACTTAAACTCATAAATAAACTTATAACATTGTTATCATCAATGTTGGTTAGAAAATAACAATATTATAATTTATCTTAACTATCAACCGACTATTCCTCTAATTAAAAAAATTTCCAGTTGATTCCAATTTTAACTGGAGGATAAACTTTTCATCATTTACTGAATAACTATAACTGCTCTTCAAATTAGAAGACAATAAACCTTTAACTTTGCAGCGGAAACTTGACAAAATTTCTTTTCCTACTTTTCAGTAGCATTTTTCTGTACTTTTCTACTCTTTGAAAATTCTAACACGTTGGTGCAAAAATTATCAGAGATTTTAAATCATTCTTTGAATGAAATCATCAAAATTTGCTTCTGAAAATAATAAAACAATTCTTAATCATCACTGTGCATTCTGGCCCGGTCCAGCACTGTGTAGCCCGGAGCTCAGCAGCAGCAGTGCGCGCGGCCCAACTGCTCACGCGCGCGGCCCAGATGCTACAGCAGCGCGCGGCCCACCACT